GCCCGGCCGGAACGGCAGCGGGGCTCCTCCCGCCGGTCCCGCTGCCCGCAGCCATGACAGCCCGGCCGCCCGGCCCGAGAAGGCGGGGTCGCCCCGCTGGCTTCCAGGCTGCCGCCGCCGCCGCTGCCCACCCGGCCACGCGGGAGATCGCGCCGACGCCTCACCTTTGTAGCGCTCCAGCACATCCTCGTAGGCCTGCACGAACTCCTTCTCCTGGCTGCGGTTGAGCGGCAGCTGGCCCGGCACGTAGCCGGCCATGGCGCTTCCCGGGTGGACGGGCCGGCAGGCGGCCGATACCCAGTGCGGAGCCCGCGGACAGAGGCAGCAGGAAGACGGGCAGAGGCGGCGGAAGCGGCCCGGCGCTCGGGTCAGCCACTGGAGCCCAACGCGGCGTCTGCGCCTCCCCGGCGGCTTCGCGACCGGCTCGTCTCGGCCTCCCGGCTGTGTGGCTCCACCCGCCGCTGTCAGGAAGGCCCCGGCCGGCCCCCGCTTGGCTGCTCGCCTCGCCCGGCCCGCCCCCCCTCCGACCCGCGATGTGGCGGGGACGCCCGGCGGCCGGCTGGGGAACTGCGGGGCAGACTGCGCCCAGCCCCGCGAGGCCGGCGGCGGTGGAGAAGCGGAGCGGCCGTGGCGGAGTGGAAGGCGACTCCGCGGCAGGCAGAACCCGGGCCGAAGGCGAAGGAAGCCTGGCGGCGGCGGCCCCAACACCGGCAAGGCCTCATTCTGCCCGAAGATGCGTAGAGGTGGGAGAGCGTCGCGGGAGGGGGCAGCGGATGCTACGCCGTGATTTTAGCCGCAGTTTGGGGTGCAAAGCCAAAGCCCGGCCCTTAGTTCGCACGTCCCTCTAGAAACCAGAAGCCTCCATGGGCGAGCGGGCAGCAAAGGGAAGGCGTCTTTGCATTAGGACGCCACAAAGCAGCTTTCAGCATTATCCTGTTTGGGGACAGAAGCCTCAACTCTAACCTTTGGTTCACAACTACAGTTGACCGGGTTCACACGTGACGCTCTGGGAATCAAATCAAGCACTTCATGACCAAAAAGCGCATATAAAGCCAGTCCCCCCCCCCTTACACGGTCAGAAGCCCCCCTTCTGTACACAAAGTACTACCTGGTTGGCTAAGATGTTGCCCCGCCTCCTGCCCCACCTTTCCAGTTACCAAACTGCTCACCCATCCACCCATGGGAGCCTCCCAGATGTTCCCCACTACCCAGTGTTGGCAATGGGGGGCACCAGGCATGGTGCCTTGGATCTTGGCTGGCCTTCATCTGCCCGTATGCCAAATGAAGGAGCAAGATCAGAGTTGCCAGCCAAGAGAGTTTGGTCCACCAAAAGGATTATGGGCATCAAGTAGTAATAGCATGGCTCATTTTATTCTTTGCTTAGGAAATTTAACTGATGAACTAAGGCAGCTTTCCCAAACCATGATTCAACCATACCATTGTTAGGTAAAATATATAGGCATGAATTCATCATCCAATGACTCTTCGGGTCAAAATCAGCACTCCAAGAATCCAAACATCCACATTTTGCTATAACTGTAAAAGTGGAAGGTGGTAAAAGTGGAAAGAAAAGTGATGCATAGAAATGGGGTCATGTGTTGCAAAGATGTGAAGTTTGTACAAACAAAATAAAATTTATTTTAAAAAAAGAAATGGGGCCATTTCATTTCACCACATGTGAAATTTGTGCCTACATTTTCCCAGATTGTTTTCCCAGACCTTCTTAGCAAGAATAGGTTGGATGCAGAAAAAAATTGTAAGAGGTTGCAACTTGCAAAAATGGAAAGGAGTTTGGGCGGCATCTGGTGGAGAAAATAGAGCAGTAGAAGGATTTTTTTAAAAAAGAAAATCACTCAAAGTTTGATAAATGAGAGTGTATTGCCAAAACAGGAAAGAATTAGGTCAAAGAAATGGGGGGGGGGGTGTTTCAGATGAAAACAGCTGGGAATTAAAACAGAGTTTAAAAAGTGAAGCTTGTTCAGCCCAGCATTTCCATTGACAAAAGAAAAATATCTGTCTCAATAAAGAAGAATATCTCTAGCAACAAGGCTGACATGGGGGGTCCTGGTTGGTTGTTTTCTTGCATATTTTTCATTGCCCAATCTAGATAACATTTAGCACTGATGTTACCTAGTTTGAGTAATAAAACATCTGCAAAAAATAACCAAACTCAGAGAGCATCAAGAACCCTCAAGAATCTGTTCTTTTTCTCCAGCTGTGACCTGAAACACGCTTAGCCAGTCATAATCCTAGAAACTATTGTCACACAAAACTAAGGAAACCCTGATTAAGATTTTTTTAAAGCTTGCTTTAATTTTTGTGCATTCTCTTGAAAAGTCTTATACAGTAACAGTTAAGAATTTGTTCAAAGCTTTGGCTCTTGTTGAAAAACAATGTTTAACTCTTTCATGGAGGAATGGAAATTCCTTAAATCCATAAAGGTGATCTAATTAAGTACACTGGGGGCACTTTAGCCCCAAATAGGCTGCTCTTGATGAAATCTCAACCAGACACCCCCGCTTTCCCCAAGGAGGCATAAATACCCACATACAGATGATGAAGCTACAGTGGAGTCAAGATGACTGGCATAGAGACAGAATAAAGATCCACAGAAACTAAAGCAGGAAAGGAGGGCGGGGGAATCTACTCACAACAGTTCTGGTGGGACAGCTAATGAAAAGGTAGGCAATGAGCCCTTCACAGGAAACCCAGCCCTTTGGTGCCATGGGCTACCCAGACAAAGGGGAAGCCCTCTGGCCAGGCCACTCCTGCTGCTGGTCCTCCTTCATTCATCACAGATCCTTCAGAGTGAAAGTCTGGCATTTCTTTCCAAGCCTTAGAATGGCCACACATTCTGAGACCACCTTGGCCTCATCGGCCTTGAGCACCAAAGCATCTCGAGGCAGCTCCACGGTTTCCTAGGATCAATGGGCAGTTTACACCTACCAGTCACTGCTGGCGTTTCTCAGGTTTATAAGAATGACTTGCAATTAAGATCTCAGCTCAGCAATGAGATTGTTATTTCAGTCTTTTGCCCAGCTGAGATTCTGAGAAACCCTTGAATAATGTTCCATGGGGATCGGCCCCTTTCTGAGTGTCTGCTACATTCTGCTTGGGAGGGGGACAGGCAGCATGGAGAGAGAGCACATGCGCGTGCACGCACACGCCAACACATATATATGCACACACTGCCTGTTACCACAGCAACTAGCATAGATTACTCAGGCACCCGTGTTACCCTGGCAACCTGCAAAGCACCTTCTTTTCTCACAATTTCTCTCTGTCAAGCTGGCTCCTTCCATTTTTTATGGTGCCCTCCACAAGCCCATCACACATGCAGGAGTAAGGATTGATTCTCCTGGCACAAAAGAAGCCCCAGACCCACTGGCGCTCCTGGAGGGAAAGACCAAAGTCTTCCTGTCCCTCTGGGTCTCTCCGATAATTAACCCACATTAGGAGAATAAGAGGCTTTTAAAAAGTGGCAGAACCAGAGGCATCTACTTGGGTGCACAGCCAGGGGCATCACAGCCCAAATTCAGCCCCTTAGATGCCTCTACGTAATGAGGTCATAACAGAAGGACGATATGGCGAGGCTCCCAAGACTCATCTTGTCATTTTCATGGTCAGAAACATGGCCACAGATGAGATAGCGGCCAAGCTGCCAGGAATTCCAGCTGCGATTTGCAGTGCAAAGCAAACCCTCCCTCAGAACAAAATTTGATTTATTGATTCCAAGGCGAGCGGACCCTGTACACGTGAACTGTTAATTGTTTGTATTAAACCTTAGCTTCATCTTTACAAGAATTCCTTCTGATAACTTACTTGCTAAAGAGACATTCAAAATGGCGCCGAGCAGTTTCGTAACACTGTTCATGCTTTGAACTTTTACGGAGTTTAAAACTTCAAAGGAAAGGAGTGATTTAATACTAAATTAAATTGTAACAGCTGTACAATTGGCCAGTAGAGATTTATTAACTGGTTGAAGACGATCAAAACTTGGAATGGCTTATAAGCAAAATCCTACTCAAAAGCCGCCCCCCCTGACTCCAAAAAGTTCTGGCAGCTTGCCCGCCCCTGGCACAAAACTGCAATCATTGCTTCCTCCCCCCACAGGGGTTTTTCAGAAGAAATAGGCTGAAGCATTTAAAAATCAGGCAATTATGATGGATACAAAATTTAAAGAAGAATTATCCGTTGCTCATAAAGAACTATCTGATAAACTGGAGACCCGAGTTCAGAAGATCAGGGATGATATGTTGGGGGTTGTTAGCTTATTAACAGAACATGTTTCGGTAATTGAAGATA